ACACTCACACAAAGCCAACCACGGCGACAAAAATACACCCACCACCACCTAATAACACCACCACAAACTTCCCGGGGCTACCCAAGGCGGCCGCCCCTCGCAGCCCGGCGCCCCCGACAGCCTGGGGACCAGCCAGGGCCCGCCCAAAACCACACCCACCACAACACACCACACCAACAACACAAGCTAAGCCAGCCCAAGACGTCTTTCTGGCCGAGGACATGGCGCTTATTCGCTCCTCGCTCAAGAGGGTGAATATCGCCGAGATCCACACTCTCGCCGCGAAGCTCCGGCTAGCAAAGACACCCCTTGAAAAGGCTATAGCTATAGCCGAACACCCCGAACTCGTTGCCGCGTTCGATTAATTTTTCAATCATTACAACACTGGAAAATAACCAGACTCCGAACACAAACAAAAACACTATACACAAAACACGCGGTGATAACTCAAACAAACACCACTGTTGTTTAAATTATGACCGCGCAAAACACTAACATAACAATCACTCAACAAAACCCCGGGCGTACCAAGCCGAAAGGCGCTTCGCTTGTGTCATTTAATACGCGCAGCTTAAAGTCCAACCTTAACGAAATTAAATTATTTTTGCAAGATAGGGAACCCGACTTTCTGCTCCTTCAGGAGACTTGGCTCAAACCAACTCAAATGAAGGGGCTGTCGATCCCTAAGTATAAATTAATCCGGAACGACGGTGCCAACGCGCGCGGCGGCACCGCAATTTACTATAGACGCAATTTACACTGCACACCTATACCCACTCCCGCGCTCACAAACATGGAAGCCACCATCTGTAGGCTGGCGATGACAGGACACCAGTCCTTAATCATCGCCTCAGTCTACATTAGATCAGGTACACACCCTCACCGCGCAGACTTCGAAACACTCACTTCACTAGGTACATCAGTCATAATGTTCGGTGACTTTAACTCCAAACACACCGACTGGACATGCGAGACCACCACCACCTCTGGCCGCAGATTACTACACATCACCGAGGAGCTTGGCTATGATGTCATATGTCCCTACGCGCCCACCCACTACCCAGACAATGTACAAAACCGACCCGACGTCCTGGACTTCGCGATCCTTAAAAACGTGTCGCTTCGCCTCAGCTCGATCGAAACACTCGACGACCTGGGGTCAGATCACAGACCGGTGTCTCTAGTTCTAGGTCCCCAAGACCCACTAGACGCCCCCGCGCCCCCTAAGAGGCTATTCACCAACTGGGACGGATACCGCTCCGCTCTCGAGACCGCTTTAGACTCCCCCGAGTCCCCGTTCCCTAACTCACCGGACAGTCTCGACAGCACCGACAAGATTGACGAAACTATAGAGTCTTTAACTTTACTGGTGACCGAGAAGGCGAAGGAGAACTCGCGGGAGGTTGAGCTGCCAAAGCCCAAGCTCCCGCTGGCCATCCGGAACCTAATCCAAGCCAAAAACGCCGCTCTCCGGAGAGCCAAATTATACCCCACCCCCGAGTATAGGGCTACAGCTAATCGCCTTCAGCGACAAGTTAGGTCCCAATTAGCCGCTCTGAGACACTCCCGTTGGGAGGAACTCATGGCGGACATCACCCCATCCCATCTTGCGTACTATAGAATCGCGAAAGCGCTCCGTAGCGACGTCACCACTCACACCCCCCCGCTCACTCGCCCCGACGGCACCGTCGCCTTCGAAGACGACGAAAAATCTGAGTGTTTTGCAGACAGCATAGCGGCGCAATGCACGCCTAGTACGCAGGAAACTAACCCGCAACATATTCGCGGAGTGGAGGAGGAGGTCCGCCGACACACCTATTAGCCTCCTCAAGGCAATGGCGAAACTTTTCGAAAAAACCATACTGACCAGACTAAGAGAGCACCTCCTATCACCATCCGATCCTATTATCATTGACCACCAATTCGGCTTCAGAGCCAAACACTCCTGCCCCCAACAGATCCATCGCATAGTGGAGCACGCCCTAAGCGGCTTCCAACTTAATAAATATAAAACTATTGCAGTCTTCTTCGACGTCGCCAAAGCCTTCGACAAGGTTTGGCACGACGGATTAATCTTTAAATTATATCAATTAGAGTTACCTGACCGCCTAGTTAGGTTAGTAGCCTCTTTTCTATCAAACCGCACCTTCCGCTATAGATACGAAGGTTCACTATCAACGCCCCGCCCACTACGAGCCGGTGTACCGCAGGGGTCCGCTCTCTCCCCCCTGCTATACACAGCGTACACCAATGACATCCCTCAGACCAAGGGTGTCGAGCTCGCTCTCTTCGCGGACGACACGGCCCTCTACTCTAGGGGAGCCAGTACCAATCAAATCATAGCCAAGCTCCAACCGGCAATCACAACACTTGGGAATTGGTTCCGCGATTGGAGAATCGACGTAAATCCGGACAAAAGTTCGGCCATTTGCTTCGATCCCAAGCGCCGCACCAAAACCATACAACACGGTGCGCGGTCTCTGCGAATGCAAGGCATAGCAATACCGTGGCACCGCACAGTCAAATACCTAGGGATCACACTAGACAAAAAACTCACCTTCCGTGCACACATCACACGCGTAGTCGCGAACGCGCGCTTTTATATGAGCCGCCTCCACCCGATGCTCGGTAAATACAGCAAAATGTCACTTCGTAACAAGCGAACGCTTTACAAAGTTTGCATACGCCCGGTCCTCACTTACGCGTCACCAGTGTTCGCACACGCGGACGAAGCGATTTTGAACAAACTTCAAGTGCTTCAAAATCGCTTCTGCCGCATAGCCACAGGGGCCCCGTGGTACGTCCGCAACGCGGACCTCCACAGGGACCTTCAACTCGACACAATTCAAACACACCTCACAGAGTGCTCGGAACGGTTCTTCAAAGCTGCAGAAGAGCACTCTAACACACTCATTAGATCGGCGTCGGGATACGCTCCACACACTCCATCTCGATTCAGGCCCCGCAGGCCCAAACACGCACTCACAGCCACACACAATAAACTCACGCGCGATCTCGCGGCCCTCTTGGCCGCTGAGGATCCAACACCCGCGGTGAGTCCCCCCCGCCCCCCCGACACAGAGAGGTTCGATTCCTCTCAGTCCCCTCCCGTTTCAAGTGCACATCTGAGTGCACTTGTCCTGTAAGCGCATTTTGCGTTATTTTAAACTATGCACTAGTTTAAACTAACGCAGCGCCGCATCATCCCCCTCTCGGGGGGTGATCGCTTCAGATGAAGCTTGTAAGGCCCTTCTGGCCATAAGCATGAATAAAGGGTGTTTTTTAGTCAGTAGGAGTCTGACATAACCCTACAGCCGGCTGTAGGGTATCCATGAGGATTTCTCACCCTCTCCCCCGCCTGGGAGGAAACAAAAAAAAAAAAAAAAACGACCACTCCTTTGTTCATCCACCAAAGACGACTGCGTTTGAACTCGCTACACTAACGGTAGATGGTTGCCTTTGAAGGTCCTTCATCTATAAAAGCAGTTCGAAATCGATCAAATGACTCATCAGTTTTTAAGCCACATTCAAAATCGTAAAAAATCATAGCACGAAAATGTTCTCGGTGCAGAACCAAAAAGAAAAATTTGATTTGCTCTCGAAAAAATGCGGAGGGAATTTTGAAAACCGAACAGTAGCATTTTTACTTTTAAATGATCGAAGTTTTCAAAATAATTACTAGTGGTGGTTTATAAAAAGTTTTTATGTACAAGATACGAGTACATAAAAACTTTTTTTCGCAAAACTTTATAGATATCATATTATTTAAAGGTCTGCGGATGCCAGACGTTTTTTGTGGCAGATATGCGGATAGGATTTATAGATAGGCCTGGTATATCTCTCATTGACCAAGAGCAGAATCACTCAAATCGGAGCGGAAATCTTTAAGTAATCGGTGTACATATAAACAAAGTATCATAAAACATCGTCCAAGTAACAAAAATGCATATAAAACAAAAACTACCAGGCCGAAATAGATAAAACTTTTATGGAAACAAATGGCAACTATTGCGCTTCGAAAAAAAATACAATCACGGTAATCAGTTAAGTAATCTCGGAGTTATCGGTGTAAAAAACATACCGACCGAATTGAGAACTGATTTGATTTGATTGACATAACTTTTACTATGCGGCGCATTGTTTGTCTCTTAAGACGTAATTCGGAAACTAAATTGACAGGTTTCCGAAATACTTCATCTGCCAAAAATGCCGAAACTACCACTTTACGTATCATAATGCTACCTATATGAGGCGTATTGTTTGCCTCTTAAGAAGCTATTGAGGAACTAAACTGATAGGTTTCCGAAATAGTTCAGGACCGTATTTTCAGAAATAACCGCTGACATAATAATACTACCCATGTGGGGCATTATATTACTTATTTAATAAGTAATATAATATTACTTAATTACTGCCGAATATGGTTTTTTCGGTTTAATGTAGGCATACTTAATAGATCTTACCATCTGTCCATATTTGCTGTAGTTGAGTATTTGAGAAAAACAAAGTTACTCATAGAATATTGTTACACTGGTTGAGATTTTATTACTTTAAATTAAAATAAGTTGCTCGTGCTCAATTAATTAAATTTCCACAGACTAGAGATTATTACACTTTTTTTTATGTTATTATAATTTTTACTATTGTTTGCACTTTGCGCTAAGGCAAAGAAAAAAAACAACAGCCTTTCATAATTTTTTTTTTATTCTTTGTTTGTGGTACTTTTTATCCGTGATTGTGTGTTTTTGTTTTTATGACTACTTTTATTCACGTCAACCTTAGGCCCTGCCAGAATATCAGTGCCGCAGCGACCTTAGTGCCGTTGTGGCATTGTGCTGAGGCATGGACCTAGTTGACCTTATTCTGTTTTTTTTTTGTTCTATTTATGCTTTGTTTGTTGGTCAATAAATTATTTCTTTCTTTCTTATATTTCTGTCAATATGCTTTCGGAAATAAATGTGACAAATTACCGAAAGATATCAATAACCTGCCTGACCCACCTGTCAAAACAATCTTGTTTGATATCAAAGCGCCGTCGCAGAAGTAGTCGAACTGGTTTCCTTTAGAGTCGTTCTTCACAAAGATGGCTGCCACCCAGGGGAACACTGCTTCGGAGAGCACCATCTTGTCACCGCTGCAGCTTTGTATAGTCTGGAAAAAGATATTTCAAGTGAGGCATAGTCATGTAGTCACAGAACACAGAAAGAGGTTAAAAAGGTGATCATAGAACGTTTGTACGCGAACGGATGTCGCCGGCTCGCCTCCACTACACTTCCACCTAATAGATACTAGGCAATCAAACGACGGGTCCCCCACGACAACGGCTACCTAGAGCCGAGGTCCGATTCAGAGACGCCCTCTAGTTGAGCCGACCCCCTCAGGTTCGAGTGGTCTAGAGGCTCCAGAATAGCTCTAGAGGTACTCGCCAATTTTCGGCTTTAGGTCCCCTTAGGATCTCGCCGTCCCCAACCCCGGTGACGCTGTAAAGGTCATCTGCGGCCAACAGCATACAAACTCAAAAAAGAAAAAACCTGACGGTAAGCGGTCACCATAGTTTCTAGAGCCTGGGTTCCAAACCTGGGGGTAATTACCCCTCCGGGGGTAAATCAGCCATACTTCGGGGGTAACAAAGAACCTAATTATTTGGTCAAATCTAAATAATAAGAAAATACTATATAATAATAGTTACTACTAAATAGAGCATGTGCTCTTTTTTGCTAGCGAGCCCGCGGAGTGCTGAGTGTGGGAAGCGGGGCGAGATTTTCTCCTGATGATGACATTATTAGAGACGAAGATGTGCCGCCACATCTTCGGATTGGAATTTCTTGGACTGATGATAACGTTTTAAGGTCGGGGTAAAATCTGTTTTCCTAATAGGTTACAGGGGTAGCAGTATTGAAAAGTAAAACTAGTTTTTACGGGTTAATGCACGAAACTTTATTTATTTATTGACGTTTCATTAGGGGGACCAAACCACTACATTAGATTTGATAGACCACAGATCCTTGCAGCTGAGCGGCGGTTCGTTCCTCGAATGATGCGCGAGGCTATTGAGATTAAAAAATATCCAAATTTCAATAGGGAAGATGGTTGGTATATACCACCAGCTTGGGAACCTATTATACAGGAGATAAAATCCCAACCCCGAGGACACACTGCAAGACCATCAGATACTATTAGTTCTTTTTGTTTGCATAATTTAACATAAGAAGGAGATAGAAAGCCTCTCTTGAGTTTGTTTCGCCGGTTCTTCTCAGAAAGGTCTCCCAATTTTGGAACCGGTGGTAGTTTACGGTAGTTAGGGTCAAATAAATAAACTCTAAATTACAAAAAAGAATTTGAAATAAAATACTTTATTAAGTAAATTAAATAATAAATTCATACATAGACAATAAAACTTAAAAATCGAACAATGAAATAACCAAACGCTCAATAAAAGTCTTTCGAAGGTAGCTCGACAAATTGAATAAAAGTTTTATTCTGACGACGTAGCCTGTAAAGGCTGCGAAACGTCAATAAATAAATAAAGTTTCGTGCATAAACCCGTAAAAACTAGTTTTATTTAATGAGTGATGTGCGTGAAAACCTAAGAAACAAGTATTGAAAAGGTTAGGAAACACTGCTCTTGAGGCTCTCACCAATTCTCGGCTTGTGGTCCACTTAGAGATTCTAACCCGGTGACGCTGTAAAGGACATCTGCAACCAACAGCATACACGCTCAAAAAAAAGCTATGCCTCGTAAAGTCGCTATAAACACGAGCTGGCGGCCTTGGTATCCAGCCCGGCCTCATGTGAATTGATCTTGAAGGTCAGACACGAAGGAGCAGTAGTTTAACCTGCCACACCAGCCATCCTCAGCTTGCCGGCAAAAACTTCTTCACGCAGCTTTTAAAAGACCATAGGTTGCAGAAAGCAGAAAAACCTAGGATGCTTGTCCTAGGCACGGAGGCATTTCAAAGAATTTCGTTTTTTATCCTTTTGTTATGTAAGCCTAAATATTAAGGCTCTAATTTGAGCGAGAAATCCTGGGTTTCACCTCTCGTAAACGTTGGCAATGTAAAAGGATGGTATGCCATGCCATCCCTTTGCATAACATTCTCTCCGAAATTTCATGCCGAATTCGCATATTCGTGCGAATTTAAAGGGCCTAGCCTACACAATGAGAAACTATGCATTTGTTGAATAGGGTATTTGACAGTGTTAAAAATAAAGTGCCAATTGTTAGCATCTGTGTTTAGATTAAAAATTGGCAGGGGTTTTTACTAGTTTTTATAAAAAATATTCATAATTTTACTAAAAACTAACGAAAAAGATAATAGTTACCCTATATATTGTCACGTGACCCAAAACGCTTGGGATTGGCCGAGCCTAAAATGACGTCACACGCAAGTAAACTTCCAGTTAAACTGACATTGCATTGTATCGTTTAACGTTTTTCATAACAGTCGTGTGACGTCACACACTAGTAAGACGCCATATTGTAAAGAGAAATGTTTTCGCGGCAACTTGAAAATGGAGTTTTTGATTTGGTTATTTTTACTGAAATACACAACAGAATGATGAATATCGACTTTTTACGGAATCCATAAACATTAGTCAATAACGTGAGATCGTTTTCTAAAACTTGTCAAATACCCTATTAACTGACACCCACAAAGTGTTAATAATTAGACTGCATACGTAATAAAAAGGTATCTTTTATTATCTACTAGTGGCCCGCCCTCGCTTCGCTTCGGTGTAAAGCTGTAGTGTAGACTATAGTTTTTGTTCTCAGGCTTGTATTATACACAATGATATTCTTCTAATACCCAATTACAATAGGCACGCGCCGCCAAGCCCGGTAGCGTCGGAACCGCTATGTCCCTGAATTTTAAATTTGTAATATCTTCGAAAATATACGTTTAAATTATATGCGTTAAAGGGCCAAATTGTTCTATATTAAATGCACAATGTATTTAAGGTACTTAATTGGATAAGGATGAATGTTATATTGCTTAAAATCGCGTCGTAAATAATCTATTATTTCTCGTAAAAAGTATAGGATAAAAATTGGTTATTGTGGGTTATCCTTAAGAGATAGACATATACCATCGCAAACTTTTTTGTAGATCTTTTTAAGGTGTACAATACTGTAGTACATTATTTTGATCTATCTCGTGGGGTTCAGCCAGCGTTTGCAATGTAAACGCAAAAAATGTGTTTATTTACGACCTTACATTAAAAACCTCTAAAATTATCAGTGTTTCTCTGCTATATTATGCATGTATTATACATATAAACCTTCCTCTTGAATCACTCTATCTATTAAAAAAAACCGCATCAAAATCCTATGCGTAGTTTCAAAGATTTAAGCATACAAAGGGACATAGGGACAGAGAAAGCGACTTTGTTTTATACTATGTAGTGATATCTTTATATATATAATTCTTCTGTAAGTGTGTATGTCACTGAACTTCTCTTAAACGACTGGACCGATTTTGGTGAAATTTTTTGTGTGTGTTCAAGGGGATCTGAGAATGGTTTAGATTCACAATTTTGTCCGCTGGACAATGTTTTATTAATTCAATTTTTTTATGGCGGTACGAAGTTCGCTGGGTCAGCTAGTCTTATATATAAAATTCTCGTGTCGCGGTATTTGTGGTTAAACTCCTCAGAAAAGGCTTTCCCGATTCTCATGAAATTTTGTGTGCATATTGGGTAGGTCTGAGAATCTGACAACATCTGTTTTTCATCCCCCTAAATGTTAAGGGTAATCCACCACTAATTTTTTTTTTCAATTTCAGATATTTTTTTTTTAATTTTTTTATGATACATCATACATAAATACATACAACCCTAAATGTTCACCCTTCTACCACCAACCCCTATTTTTTTATGGCGGTACTAAGTTCGCTGGGACAGCTAGTCTTTTATATAAAATTCTCGTTTCACAATGTTAGTTACTACTATACCATACTCCTCCGAAATGGCCTGACCGATTTTTATGAAATTTTATATGCATATTCCGTGGGTCTGAGAATCGGCTACTATCTATTTTTCATACCCCTAAGTGATAAGGGTTGTCCACCCCCAACATTTTATATATTTTTTTGGACATTTTTATTTTTTTGTCATCATCATCAGCCTATTAACATCCCCGCTGTTGGGGCACAGGCCTTCCCTATGGATGGGATAGGGAGATTGGGCCATGATCCACCACGCGGGCCCAGTGCGGATTGGCGGTTCATATAACAATCCCTATTTTTATGGCGGTACGAAGTTCGCTGGGTCAGCTAGTATATCTTTATATATATAATTCTTCTGTGAGTGTGTATGTCACTGAACTTCTCTTAAACGATTGGACCGATTTTGATGAAATTTTTTGTGTGTGTTCAAGGGGATCTGAGAATGGTTTAGATTCACAATTTTGTCCGCTGGACAACCCCTATTTTTTTAGGGCGGTACGAAGTTCGCTGGGTCAGCTAGTATATATATATTAAAATCAAATGCTGTTCGTTAGTCTCACTAAAGCTTGAGAACGGCTGAACGGATTTTTCTTCTCTTGGTCTTGAAATGTTCGTGAACGTCTAGGGAAGGTTTAAAAGATGAGGAAAATCCAAATAATTACCTGAAAACCCCGAAAAACAGCCCTTTTCGTTTTCTAAATAAAATGTAGAGTAAATTTGAAGTTTATTGCCTTTGAACAAAAACTATATTCTACACTACATCTCTACACCGAAGCGAAGCGAGGGCGGGCCACTAGTTTTAAATAAAAGAAATCATGCCAAATCCTCTGGGTGTCGATTCTGATAAGCTAATGTAAGAATCGTGTCTCAATAATGGTTCTATGGTTCAATTTTATCCCTTTATGACTTTTTTATTTGTTATTTTATGTTTTAATAACAAGAATTGCTCTTGTTATTAAAACATAAAATAATAAATGCTTATAGACAGCAATTTCAAATGAGTGAGGAGCTCGATGGCGCGTTCAGCTGCGATCGTTGAAGTTAAGCAACTTTCGCAGTGGTCGGTCGTTGGATGAGTGACCAAAAATCTATCTCGCACGGAGGAATGCTTCGGAAGGCACGTTAAGCCGCTGGTCCCGGCTACATCTGCAATCGTTAGCACCCCCCAATTCGCACTGGGCCCGCTTGTTGGGTCATGGCTCAATC